CACACACACACACACACACACACACACACACACACACAACTAAATACTTTTGAACTTTTTTTTTCTTTCTCAAAAGAAGGGAAGGAAAGAGCAAAACGGAAAAGCAAAAGTCCAGCCCCTCACGTTGTTTAGCTCCTCGTGCAGCTCTGCCAACGAATGGTTTCTTTACTTCTTTCAGTCGACAAATTCTTCCCATTTACAGAAATACCAAAAAGGAGAGCTTGTGTGCGTGCTGAGAGAAAAACAAAACGAGGAGGACTGGAAAACATTTAGCTTAACTGAGTCAGGCTTTGACCAAACTTCTCCATGTCACCTAAAACCCTGCACACCCACCTCCCCAAACCAAGTTTGAGCCACAGAGGCAACAGCTGGACGGATCGTGTAATCAAATACAATCCACAGCAACACGCTGAGGAAACAGCAGCTTTGGTGTTACAAATCGTTTCTTTGATTTCCTTCTTTTCATAAAAAGCAGGGAGAAAATTCCCACTGAAAGGACAGAAACCAAACAAAAATGGCAGCGTGGGACAGAAAAAGCTCGTCGACATTTTACACGGAACAACAAACGAGCACCAGAAATGATTCTGTTCACCAGAAACGATTCTGTTCACCAGAAATGATTCTGTTCACCAGAAACGATTCTGTTCACCAGAAATGATTCTGTTCACCAGAAACGATTCTGTTCACCAGAAATGATTCTGTTCACCAGAAATGATTCTGTTCACCAGAAACGTTCACATGTGAACTCGTGTTTTTGTTTGGTGCCACGGTGGTGCTTCGGCAGGGGCCTCATGCCTGTTGGGGCTCTTTTATCAGACCCCATTGTAAAAGCCCTGCCAGATTGGAGGAGGGGCCTATTTGCATGTTATTACCATAGCATGCGTCAGGTCATATAAAACAGGCTGCAGGCGGCCTTGGCCAGAGACTGACGAAACATTCAGTGAGGAGACACCAGGAGGGAGGAGGCATGTTGGACCATTGACCATCTGGGTTAGACRAACTTCAAACAAAAGCCTGAAATTTGGCCCTTTTTGGCTGCAATAAACAAGGATCCCAACTTTACCCACCAGATTTACACTTTTCGTTGGAACCGGAGGACTTCTTTTTTTCTGTTTGTTTTTTATTTATTTACCTGTAAAAACTTTCTACAAGACGTGGCCCTTTGGTTGGAGGATTAATCCTGTTTGGGACATGAATCAGAGCAGAAGCAGCTCATGAGAAAAGCCTGGGAGGTGACAGAAACAAGCTCAATGAATCTCTGAGGAGCTGAACCAGAGGAGGCACCTTCAGGACATTTCACTTTATTTATTTGACATTTATTATGTATTTATTTATTATGGGGCGCGTCACCCTGCTGACCCTCACTGTCATGTCCATGTTGTTGTGCCAGGTAAGTCTTTTAATCTGTTTTTCACACAATCAGCACACTTGTACAGAAGCAGTACAGTGTGTGTGTGTTTGTGTGTGAGAGAAAAAAGAGAGAGTGGGTAATGATTGTCTTCTTTTCTCAGGGCTTTTGTTCAGGAGTGTTTGAGCTAAAGTTGCAGGAGTTTCTAAACAAGAAGGGAGCACAGGGCAACAAAAACTGCTGCAAAGGACATCTGGCGTCCTCTTTTCAGCAGCAGTGCGAGTGTAAAACCTTCTTCAGGATCTGCCTCAAGCACTACCAGCCCAACGCCTCCCCGGAGCCACCGTGCACCTACGGCAGCACCGTGACTCCTGTCCTGGGCTCCAACTCTTTCCAGGTCCCTGACGTCATCCCGGAGAGCTCCTTCACCAACCCCATCAGGATGAACTTCGGATTCACGTGGCCGGTAACTTATCACAGCACCGCTGCTCAAACGCAGCCCTACAGGCTGTTAAGATTCACGCTCTTTCAAATTCATGCATAAAAAGTGCACAAAGGCCCGATTTGTGGCAGAGAGTGTGCAGTGTTCACACTGGGTGTTGAGTTTCAGCAGATCAGGTTAGGCTGTTGGCAGTCAGCACAGATGCTCGGGCCTTCACTTGTTTTATCAGTAAGCTGCATCTCCGCTCACCACCTGTTTCATGAAGCCGTTTGTGTTCCCAGGGAACCTTCTCGCTGATCATTGAAGCGTTACACACTGATTCCAAAGATGACCTCTCCACAGGTAGAGACTCCCCTCTCCTCTCCACAATGGACGCTGCATTGGCGCGCTCTTCCCCCCAGCGTGTCTCACCTGTCACCTGTTTCTGCTTTCAGAGAACCCAGAGCACATCATCAGCACCATGACCACCCAGAGGCACCTGACAGTGGGAGACGAGTGGTCCCAGGACCTGCACACCAAAGGCAAGACCGAACTCAAGTACTCTTTCCGCTTTGTGTGCGATGAGCATTACTACGGGGACGGCTGCTCGGTATTCTGCCGGCCAAGAGACGACGCGTTCGGACACTTCACCTGTGGAGAACGTGGGGAGATTGTGTGCGACGCCGGGTGGAAAGGCCAGTACTGCACAGAGCGTGAGTCCTGAAGCCTTTATTGTTCTTCTATGCATAAAACATAACAAACTTATGATTTTTAAAGGTAGACAAACGCTAATACCACATATAAATCAAACACACTCAGGAAAAACAAACATTGTGTAACACACCCTCAGTACATGCTACAGTTGTGAATGTTCACAGAGCTGAAAGACAAACATTTAGTTTATGAATATTAATGATTTAAATTAGGACAAAACGGTAATTTCAGTGTTGGGTTTGTAGTAAAATGCCTGAGTGCCTGTTAGAAGGTAACTTGTGTGTAAACACCACACATACCCGCCTCATCTCTCTCTCTCTCTTGAACAGACACACATACAATATTGTATTTGCATCAAACTGAGGATTTTGTATTGACTTCCATTCATTTTTGTAACTGTATTTATGTCAAACCCAGACATTTTCCCTCAAACTAGCCATCACTGGTCTGTAGTTAACCTAACCTGAACCAAAACTTAATTCACACCAAACCTCTAAACCTAACTAGTAAAACTAACTATTACTGGTCTATAGTTAACCTAACCTGAACCAAAACTTAATTCACACCAAACCTCTAAACCTAACTAGTAAAACTAACCATTACTGGTCTATAGTTAACCCAACCTGAACCAAAACTTAATTCACACCAAACCTCTAAACCTAACTAGTAAAACTAACCATTACTGGTCTATAGTTAACCCAACCTGAACCAAAACTTAATTCACACCAAACCTCTAAACCTAACTAGTAAAACTAACCATTACTGGTCTATAGTTAACCCAACCTGAACCAAAACTTAATTCACACCAAACCTCTAAACCTAACTAGTAAAACTAACCATTACTGGTCTATAGTTAACCCAACCTGAACCAAAACTTAATTCACACCAAACCTCTAAACCTAACTAGTAAAACTAACCATTACTGGTCTATAGTTAACCC